TCAGAGCGCCACCGCGGAGAAGCTCAGGCTGGTCACCGCGTACTGGGCGCTCTGCCAAAACCCCTGGCTCCCCGTCTCGGGGCTGGTGGAGACCTGGAACCGGGCTGAACCCGAAGCGGTGCTCTTCGTTTTTTCGTGTTGTTTTCGTCTTCCCTCATTTTGTCTTCAATCCGCCGTCAACGCAAAACGAGATCGAAACGAAAACGGCCCACGAAATCGCCAAAACACCGTTTAGGTCCACCCCTGACCTGGAACACTGTGTAGTTGGCAGCCACCAGCGGCGTGATGTCGAAGGTGAGCGTGGCGTCCTCGCCGGGCTGGGGCGCCGCCTGGGTCACGTTGTCGCGTGCCGGCGCGAACCCGCAGCCGTTGCCGGGGTCGTACTGGCTGCCACCGATCGGCGCCGGCATCTCGCAGTAGCTCGGCGGGCACCCCACCTTCTCGCCGTTCGGACCCGTGGCCTTCCACTCCATCGTCTGGGGCAGCATCTCGGGCAGGCCCGACACGGAGATGACCCCCGTCTGGAGCGTCCAGCTGGGGCTCCGGGAGGTGAGCCCGAGGTGCAGGAAGACGGTGGTCCCCGGCGTGTTGAGGCCTGCCACCTCCGGGGGCGCGCAAAAACATGGATCAGCGATCCGTGGATCTGGCGCGCGGTCGCCAAATCCATGGATCGGGGGAGCTGCCCTCCCCCAAAATGCGGCCCCGGTGCCGCGTCGCTCGGCGGCGGAAATCCGCGAGTTCCCATGGAACGGGGACCCGTCGCTGATATCCACGCCTCCTCAATCCATGTTTGAGATCGCCTGCCACTTGGTCCAGGTATGCCACCGCCATTCCCAGGTTCCAGCCCTCCCCCCCGGCGCCGGCGCTGAAGGCGCTCTCTATGACGTCCGGCTGCTGCTGCGCCAGGCTGGGCAGGCGCACGGGCGCGGCGGGGACCGGGCCCAGCTGCAGGAGGCTGTCGTTGGCAAGCGAGAGGTCCTTGACGCTGCAGCTGATGATGGTCGGCATGGGGCCGATGCCGACCTTGGCGGCGCGCACAAGGTGCTGGAGGGAGGGGACAGGGCTTCTTAGAAGGAGGCTGCTTCCTAGAGGGCGCCGGCCCTACATCCACAGAAAAGGCCCGCGCCTTCTAAGAAGCAGGGGTGCTTCTATCGGGGACGGACAGGCCCCCCTTTAGTAAAAGCGTGGTTTAGTGAAAACGACCTGAGGCCCAAACCTGGCGGGCGCAAGCCTGGAAAATTCGCCGGCCCAACGGGCCAGGGCGTGCTAAGATCTCCGGTAACAGGTAAACAGTATTTTTAGTTCGCGCGCGCGGGGCGGCCCCTAGGAGTCCCCGGGCGACAAAAAAATCTGGCAAGTCCCCGGGAGGGTGGGGTTCAGAGATGCCGGACTTCCTGGGCGCGGCCCTGGAAGCCTCTGGAGCGCTCCAGGAGCGCTCCAAGGAGACGCCAAATATGTGGCAGGCCCAGAAGCCTGCCAAGAGCGCCCCAAGACGGCCCAGATGGCCTCAAGACGGCCCAAGATGCTCCCAAGACGCCCCAAGATGCGTCCACGAGACCTCCCAGGAGGCCCCCCCACAAGCCAAAATTGATGATTTTCATTGCTTTTTTGAGGATTTGGGCGTTCTCGCCTCTTCGGCTTACAAGCGCTCCAAGACGGCCCATAAAGTTCTCAATATCGCCCCAATACGGCCTACGAGGGTTCAAGACCGTTCCGAAACGACCCCAGAGGGCCCTAAGAGACCCCCAGAAACCTCCAAGATGGCCCAAGATGCCCCCAAGACGGCTCCAAGACCAGGCCCCGACGGGGGACCGGAACGGACATTTCGCGCTCTAAGCCGCAAGACGTCCCCAGGAGACCTCATAACGCCTTCAAGAGGCCTCAAGACGGCCCAAGATGCTCCCAAGACGCCCCAAGATGCGTCCACGAGACCTTCCAAGAGGCCCCCAACAAGCCAAAATTTATGATTTTCATTGTTTTTTTGAGGATTTGGGCGTTCTCGCCTCTTCGGCTTACTAGCGCTCCAAGACGGCCCATAAAGTTCTCAATATCGCCCCAATACGGCCTACGAGGGTTCAAGACCGTTCCGAAACGACCCCAGAGGGCCCTAAGAGACCCCCAGAAACCTCCAAGATGGCCCAAGATGCCCCCAAGACGGCTCCAAGACTGGGCCCCGTCGGGGGACCGGAACGGACATTTCGCGCTCTAAGCCGCAAGACGTCCCCAGGAGACCTCATAACGCCCCCAAGAGGCCCCCGAGAGGCCCCAAGAGGCCCCCAACAGGCCCCAAGAGGCCCCCAACAGGCCCCAGGAGGCTCCAGAAATACTGCCAACCGCGAGCCCCATGAGAGCAGACGATGGCGCCACAAACCACTGACAGCTGCAAACGTCGAACCAACTACACCGGACTGGTGCACCCACCACCGAAAACAACGTCCCCCCCATCAGCGCAGCATGGCTCACGGACGCGCAGCCAAACCCCAGCGATTACGCATAATGGGCCGGCGAAATGAGCGAAGCGATCAAATAACGGCCACGGCGCCCTCTCGACAACCGAGAACGGACCATTCACTCATCGACGTGTCACTGTTGGGGGTTCTGTCCACCCCCGATTCCAAGAAGCCCCCCCCCCTCCCCCCCACCCCCCGCGGCGCGTGGCCGACGACCTGCAGGGTCACCATGGCCTGGGGCGGCGCCCAGCCGCTGGCGGAGCGCACGTCGAGCCCGCGCACCTGCAGGGCGCTGATCTCGTCGCCGGCGCCGTCGGCCAGGCACGCCTCGCCGGGCGCCGCCCCCGCGGGCGCGAGGAGCGCCGCCGCCGCGCCGAGCAGGCACGGCCGCAGGGCGCGGGCCATGGCTGGTCGGCCGGCGTGCGGGCGTGCGTGCGGTGGCCCAGGCGAGGGCTGCCAGCGGGGGCAGCGGGGCGCGCAGCGCCGCGGGGCACGCCCTCTCGAGCCGAGCGTCGCCCTGCGCCGTCCTCTGTCTGACGGCCGCCGAGGGGAGCAGGGGCCGTACTACCGGGGAGGGCGAGGACGAGGAGGGTCAAGGGCCCCAGGGGCACGCAAAGGAGTAGACACAGATACCAGGATTCCTCATATGTTCCCATGTTCTCCGGGGTTTCGTCTCCCCCCGCTTCCCTTATTTTCCCCTATTCCCCTGGCAGTCGACGATGAATTGTCTCTGTGTGGGCTCCTTCCCCTCCTGCGAGGAGAGCGTTCCTGCGGGTAGTCTGAGCGGCGCCCTGCACTTGTCAGGAAGCGAGCACGGCCTCCGCGAGGGGGAGGCCCATGCTCGGCCGGGCCCTCTCCCGTGAGAGACTGGTGGTCGTGGTTGCGAAGGCGAAGGCGCCAGATCTCTGGGGCCAGGTAAGTGTGGACCAGGTGGCCGTGGTGGACGAGGTGCAGGTGGTCCAGGAGGGGCCGCTGCATGGTGCCGTGGAGGTGCTCATCAACCTCCAGGTGCTGCTCGAACTGTTGGGGAGGAGACGTGGGAAACAGCTCGGGCTCGGATGGGGGATCTCAAGTTTCCTGGTCCATGGGGGGCATCTGCATCCGCTTCATGGGTTCATGCAGAGCTGGCGGGATGGAGTGGAATCGTTCGCTTCTGGCTGGAGCGGCGAGGGCTCCAGCTCTAGCTGCGGGTCGGGTACTTGACACGGTACGGCCAGATGGTGGGGAAGTGGCGGTGCCTCCTGCTTGCTCTTGCCGACGCCGACGCGAAACACCAGAGCTGCCCATGGGTCACCAGTGCCATGGAGTTGGTCCCGAAAGTTCTCCCGGGTGTGCATCTCGGTCACGGCGCTGGCCGCCGTGGCCTCCGCGGCGAGATCCTCTACTCTCTCCCGTGGAAGGGGGAAGCGAGCTCGAAGAGGACATTGAGCAGGGTGCTGGCGGCAGAGGTCGCTGTCGCACGCCACGCCCGAGAAGCCTCCCGAACCGAGCGCTGCTGCCAGGTGGAGCAGCAGCGCCCGGTGTAGCAGCAGCATGCACGCTACTGACAATGCCTGGGGCCGACCAGGTCTTGAAAATGGAAGTGCCTCAGGGGGACCAGAACTTGGGAATGAAGTGCCTGGAGCGGACCTGGACTTGGATATGACATCTTTTTGAAACCTGAATGCGGACCAGCGTCGTCCAACCTCTGCTCGTGAAAACCGGGCATATTGAGCCAACACGGCGACGGATAATGATTATGATAAATGATGCATGATGTATGATGACGACGACGATGATGATGCAGGTTATGAAAACGAAGATGATGATGCTGATGACGATGCTGCATGTATGATGACGGTGATGATGAGGAGGAGGAGGAGGATGAAGGTGATGATGATGATGATGATGATGATGATGATGATGATGATGATGATGATGATGATGAAAAATGGTGGTGGATATGATGACGATGCTGACAACGATGATCGTGACAGCGATGGTGGTAATGATGATGACGGTGGTGATGATGATGGCCCCGACCGGGGCTGCACGCCCATCTCCCCGACGCCCGCGCGTCAGCGGGCCAGTCGGGGCCGCGGGCGGGCCGCCGCGGCGGGCGCGTGGCAGTCGGCCGCATAACGCCGCGAGAGTCGCGACCTCCTGCAGCCTCCGCGGCGCCGCCCCCCGCGCCAGCTCGCGCCCGCGCCTTCCCGTGGCGGCGTGCACGACGACGGCGACGGCGACGGCGCCGACGACGACGACGACGGCGCCGACGACGACGGCGGCGACGACGACGGCGACGACGACGGCGCCGACGACGACGGCGGCGACGACGACGGCGACGACGACGGCGACGACGACGGCGACGACGGCGACGACGGCGACGACGACGGCGACGACGACGACGACGGCGACGACCTGGCCAGTCGGGGCGGAGAGCGGGCGGCGGCGAGCCGGCAGGCCGCCTCTGTGGGCGCGGGCGGAAGACCGCATCACACCGCGGGGGCCGCGGCATCCTGCGGCTCGCGCGGGGCGGCCCGCCGCGAGGCTCGGGGGAACGAGCAACGACGTACATAAGCAGAACAACTCGGAGGTCCGCGCGGATTTCTCGGATCCGCGCTCGACCCCCCTGCTCGGCGCGCGGAGCGCGCCAGGGGCGGCGCCGGAGGCGCCAGGAAGGGGGGTCGAGCGCCGATCCGAGAAATCCGCGCGGACCTCGGAGTTGTTATGTTTATGTCGCTGCTCGTTCCCCTGAGGCTCTCCGCGACTCCTTCCGCTCGCGGTCGAGCCTCTGTGGCGGCGCGCGCGTCGGCGCAGGGCGAGCGCGGCGGCCGCCCAGAAAAGCCAGAGGGCCTCGTAGAAGGCATCGGCTCCCCTTCACTCGGCGGGCGAGGGACGGTATCAGATAACTGTTATACCGTCCTTTGCCCGGCAGGGTTGCCCCCCGACGGGCGAGCCGCCTCTGGACGACAGCCCCCCTCGCCCTGCTCCCTTGCGCGTGCCGCCGGCCTTTCCTGCCGCATCTCCTCCACGAAGCTCCCGAAGCGGTCCTCCGAGTACGCCTCCCACAGCTCCCACGCCGAGAGCTTGGGATCCGTCATCATGGCGGCGGCCGAGGCGCCGACGGCCGTCAGCACCGCCGCCGCAATCAGGCCCAGGTCCATGTCGCCCGGTATCGCCAAGTACGACGCCGCACTGCCGATGCAGCTGCCAGCAACCACAATCGCCGGAAGGAGGACAGAACGTCACACTTTTTACGTCGGCGGCTGGACAAAGGGACTGCTCCGGCGATGAGGCATTAGTGGGACACACAAAACGCGAATTAAGCCGCAGTGCACTTGATAGAACGTCACACACGTAAGCATAAACTCTGGACGTCCGCGAGCGGCAAAAGTCAGCCAGCGCCACAGCCCTCTCCAATCTACGCACCCATGCCTGACACACGGGGTGCGCCAGGAGGGGGCGCCGAACGCGCCGACCGGGGGTGCGGGGCGACGCGGTCGTTGGCATATTACGGCGGGCTCGCGTCGCGATGACGTCTACGCTAGTTTCTGACACCGCGCGGACCACAGTAGGGGCTCGACCAAAAGAAACCTCTACAATAATACCATCCCTGAGACCCCAGGACGTCCATTGTCTTTGGGTGTGGGAACGTCACGCTTTCCATAGCAAACCATCGAAACCCAAGAAACCCAGGGCACCCTGGAGGCAAGCAGATTTCTTTTGAGCACGGACCGACCGTCCTGGCATTCTTATAGTCCTACCACGAAATGTTCTCAGAAGCCAAAAATGTTCTAATAACAAAACAAGGTTCATAGAACATAAGCCCGATTTGCTAAAACGAGACAGCATCCGCCAGAAATGTTCTAAGAACATTTCGTGAAAACCACAAACTGTTCTTAGAACATTGTTTGGCAGGGCTATGGGCGAGCCAGGACGCTTCGCCACTGTCTGATTCTTGGCATGGGCCTCCACTGCAGCCAGCATGGAGCGATCGCACCTTCCCCACAGCGCAGATCGCCCGAGACACGGCAGATCCCTGGCCACACTGGCACAAAAGTCGACCTGGGACGCCCGCGTTGGGATCGCCGCCGAGTCCACGCGGCGCGGGCCCGCGGCTCGCTGGATGCACGCCGTAGCATACACACAGCGCCCGCCAGGAGCGTCAATGGGGGTTCGATGCGTCTCCTCGGGCCTGCAGAGGGCAGGTAGCCCCTGCTCATGCTTCATGTTCAGCTTGCGGTGGCTTTCTCGGACCCCAATCCCTCTCCCTGCCCCACCTTGCTTCGAAGAGCTGGCGGGGTGGGAGGAGGGGCGCAGCGCTGGTTTCACTGAGAGAGGGCGCCGTTCCAGGTCGGCCAGAGAAACCGATGAGTGCCCTTCTAGCCTCCGCGCTAGTCGCCGCGGGCTGAACTGCTCCTCTACGGGACAAACAATGACATAAACATAGAAACTCGGAGGTCCGCGCGGATTTCTCGGATCGGCGCTGCACCCCGTCCCTGGCGCGCGGAGAGCGCCAAGGGCGGCGCCGGAAGCGCCGCCAGGGGACCCCAACGCCGTGCGGACCTCCGAGTTCTCCTGCTTACAATGGAGGCCGGACCACAAGAAACCGTCCACAAGAAACCCAACCCTGAGACCCCAGGACGTCCATAGATTTTTCGTGCGGGAACGTCACGCTCTCCAGAGCAAAACCATCGAAACCCAAGATGCCCAGGGCACCCTGGAGGCAAGCAGGGTGTTTCTTGTCATGGGTCCCCACTCTTACGTCATTGCCTGTGCCCCGATCCTCTTCCTGGTGCATGCTGGCCACCGCGTAGGAGCCTAGCGCGCCCCCCAGCGCCTGGCCGGCGGCCTGCCCGGCGCCCAAGGGGCCGCCCACGGCGGCGCCGAAGGCCCCAAAGATCCCGGCGACGGCGGGGCCCGGGAGGCCATCCACTGTCTGCGATCATCTTTGTTTCTCGCCCAGCGCTCATCCTTCCTCCCCCTCCTCCTCCTCCTCCTCCTCCTCCTCCTCCTCCTCGTCCTCCTCGTCGTCCTCCTCGTCGTCCTCCTCCTGCTCCTCCTCCGCCTCCTCCTTCGCCTTCTCCTCCTCCACCTCCTCCTCCTCCTTCTCCCCCCCTCCTCCTCGTCCTTATCCTCCTCCTCCTTTTTCTCCTCCTCCTCATTGTCCTCGTCCTCCTCCTCGTCCTCCTCCTCTCCTCTCCTCCTCCTCTCCTCCTCCTCCTCCTCCTCCTCCTCCTCCTCCTCCTCGTCCTCGTCCTCGTTCTCCTCCTCCTCCTTCTCCTCTTCCTTCTCCTCCTCCTCCTTCTTTTTCTTTTCCTTCCCCTCTTCCTCCTCCTCCTCCTCCTTCTCCTCCTCATGTAGTTTGGCGGCAACGCTTTTGCCGCGAAATTGCAGCTGCAGCTCGAGGCTCAAGCTGGGCGTAAGGTAATGCTGGGTGGCGCTACGTCCTTCGTCGAGCTCTCGAATGGCGTCACGACGTTTTACCACTTTCGTCACCAGCAGAGCCCTCACAGCAAAGAAACAAAGTCGCCGAAATTGACATGGACCTGACCCTGATCAGGGTGAAGGCCAGACCTCAGCCTTCTCATGATCGCGTGACCGTGGGAAGGCCTTACAATTTCCGAGTTGAATTACATTGGAACCAGTGTTGCAAACCTTACAAATAAAACACACAAACAAATGAGATCCATCAGAGCACGGGAAGGCGATAACCGTGCGCCCGAATCGCATCAGAACTCTTCGGTGGAACCTAGAATGCCCAGGACAATCCCCAAGAGGCGGACAACACGCACGCGAGCCTCGAAGGCAGATTCGACACTGCCAGGAGGACCCAACATTTACCTACGAGTGCCCAACACTCAGACCAGGAGAGCGGCGCTCACTCAATGAGAGGAGGCCTAGACCTGGCGGTGCCTCCAAATTCCTGACGATGCCACAAGGGGAACAACTGGGGGCCCGCCTTGAGGACCAACCGCGCAACCTGAAACTTCCTGTCGAGGGTTTCTTGCTCTACAGGGGACATGACGGGAAGCCTGTCCGCACCCTCTTTTTGCAATTAGATCCGGCTACACATTACCGAGTCGTCTGAATCACGTTCCATTTGACATGCCCGCCTCATCCGAGTTTTGGTGAGCTGCCGCCTTCTCTGCTCCGAGCGGGCTCTGGCCGCAGGGTGTTGCCTCTTTCCGCAGGGAGCGCCCGTACCCAGAGCAGCACGGCCAACTGCGTTTCGACAGTCGGAAAAACCGACCGAAGGAGCAATCAACATAGGCCCCTGACCAGGCAAAAGCAGGGACTTCCGCGGCCTGTGGACCCTGGGGCGCACGGGGCCAGGAGAGGCCCACTGAGGGTCCCTAGGAGCTCGCCGTCCATGACGCAGCAGCCCCAAACAGAGCCCCAAGCATCCCCCCCTTCGTCGCGCGCTGGAGGCGGGGGCGGAAGGTCCCGAGCTTTCCACGCCAGCGAGACACTTCCAACACACAGTGGCGGAAGAGCGTCGTCCCCAGGATGTCTGAGAACCCCAAACTGGAGGAGCCCTCTCTCTCCCTCTCATGCTCCGGGTCGTCGATGCCACGGGCTCCTTCAAGCAACCACTGCGGCAGCAACTTCTGGCGTCGCTCCTCACGGGCCCTGCGCTGGAACACCCGATGGCAGCATCGGTTGCAAAGCGGGCGCGTGTCGGGCACGTCGTACCCAGCGTCGGCCGCGTCGACAGCCGCCCAGAAAGCATTGGCGACCTGCGCTCGAATCATACGCCTGCCCTTCCCAGGCATCTTGGACGACGCCAGCGGCTGCTTGACGACATCCGAACACAACCTGCACCACCTACCCCGTAGCGTTCACCTGAGTCTCGCCCAAGGTTCTTGAACACCGCCTCCCGACAAGTATCTGACGAGGCGACGGGGGGGAGAGGGTCAGAGAGATGCTCCAGACCGAAATGATCTCGAATCGTCGCGAAATCAAACGTAGCCCAACCCCAACGGTAGATGCACATGCGGAGGGCCGCGAGCGGACCTGCGACCTATTACCCCGGGAAGGACCATTGCGGCCGAAGGCCTGGCTCCAACAATGCCTAAGCTCAGCCCAGGACGGATACCGAGGGCATGCCCGCGCGTGGCAAAGCCAGATTTCATTCGAGCACCTCGGGGCGGGCGCGACGCTCGCGCACCGGCGCGGGTCCTTCTCCAAATGGCACAGAAAAAAACGACAGAGGGCGGCCTTGCGGGGGCCGGGCCTCGCGCAAGACATGGAGGCTCTGCGCAGCACGAGGAGCTCCCTGTCGGACACCCCGTAGATGTCTGACCCGTAGGTCGCGCCAGCCAGCGGGCCAGCAGCAAACACCTCACGAGCATGCCTACCAAGGGTCTCGCCGAGTCTGCGGAGTCTCCTGGCCTTGCGCAGCGCCGCAGCAATCCTAGATTTGAGCTTGGCGAGCCTTCCGCTGCCTGCGGTTCGCACCGCCCGCCCAGCAGTAACATCCACTCCGAGGTTGTTCGTGATTCCCCCAACCCCCTTCTCAGAGCCCGCAGGGGGCTCGAGAGTCTGGATGCGTTGAGAGGCAATGCTGTCAGTGCTGCCAACCACCCCAAACCTTACTCATGGCCAGCTGGCACGTGAACGCTTCAGCGAAGCCAGCATGCAGAACTCGAGCTCCAGCGACAAGGGCTCGCGCGACCGCCTCAGCTATGCCTCTGCGGCTAAGCCCCAGGCCATCGATATGCGCGTCGAGATCCAATGCTGGCGCCTGCGGAGTGGAATCGGAACGGCCCATGGCAAAAACTAGAATGGAACTGGCGGCGAAGGGGCACCCAGCAAGCAGGCCACCGAGGGCGAAGTCTGGGCCCTTAACAAGAGCTCCGAGGGACATGTGCCCCTCGACGGAAGAAGACCACGCAGAAAGTCTGGCGATGGCAAGAGGGAGCCCATGCTGACGGTGCTTGTCACAGAGGTACCTAGGGTCGATGTGCTCTACTTCCTGACACCCCGCGAAGCGATCGGGGATTTTCTGACCCGGGTCAATCCAGACCCGGGTCAGCAGGAAACTGCAATGCAGGAACAAAAACTGCAGCGCAGATCTTCGCAAACCTGGGTCGGCCAATATGCGCAAAACCGCCTCGCCGCCACGAGCGGCTCGCCAACCCGGGGCCAGCCAGAGGGAGCC